TTACTACTAGATAATGGAGAATCTTTTCCATTCTGATAAATTCTAGAACCAACATGGCCCTACAGTTGATTACACAGACAATGACAAGACACATAATGATTTTCTGAATAGTCCTTAAAATATTCTTAGAAAATCTTGGCTTAGTCACAAGGCCCTCCAGAGCCTGGATTCAATTCTGGTGCTGCTTTGACATTCACACCCACCCCCACTCAATAATTAGGGCACAGATTAAACCAAGGCTCCTGATGGCTTCTCAGAGTCATTTTCCCAGAGTCAGCCTGGGAAATCAAGGAAATCTTAGGAAAAACCACAGATTTGGGTATTTTATTTCAGACTCTTATCTTAAGGGAGCCTGAGAAATAGCTGCCCAAACATTCCAAAGTATGATATTTCATAGCATAAGCCATTTATGAAATACAATGATCCTTGGCAAATAACTTCCTTCTGCCTCAGTTTCCTCATCTATAAAATGGGCCTAAGAACAGCATCTATCTCCCAGGGTTGTTATAAGGACAAAATGAGATGAGTACAGCATTTTATAAACCTTGAAGTGTATTATAAATGCTAGCTATTTTTATAGTGTTTTCAAAAATTTCATTGCAATGATACGATCTCAGTGGACCCACAAGTGATTCCTTCACTCTCAAAATTTCTGGGTAGGAATAGCAACTGCTGCTCTTTCCCTTAAGATGAAAAAATGTAAAGAATCTATATTAGCTACCTGTAACTGGTAAGCCTTAGAATAAACATATCCAAAAGCACATCCATCTAAATCTCCCTGATGATGAAATCTCCTCACTCTCAGGGCCTTACGAATTGCCTCTAAAGGCTTTTTCAATACAAGCATCTCACTGGACGTCCTGGAAGGACCATTTTCTACTATGAGAACTGTAGTCATCAGACACTGAGTAGGCTGTCCACACAGCAGAACATGGGAAATTGCTTGTTGAGAGCTGAAGGAGCTGAATGAGGGAGTGGGAGGTCATGGAAGGGAAGCAAGCCTAGGACAATGGCATTGATGCTGGGGGACCCAGATGAATGGTTAAGCACATTAATAAACCGCCTCCTACCACGTGTTCCCGTGATTCATGGAAGTTATAAGCCTGCCTCAGAACACAGGTAAGAATTTAACAAATATTTTGGAATTCGACTGACTTTTCATGTCTGATGATCTACCTTGGCAATCTAAATAGAGAACTGTTTCTCCTGAAGTGCCTGGCCATATCTATTACTTTAACTAGATGTCCAAGCTAAGTCCTCTCTCCCAGTACAATCAGAAATTTCATTTAACTAAAAGAAAATGCCATTGGCTTTGAAAATTACCAAAACAACAACAACAAAACTGACAAAACAACAAAAACCAAAAAAAAAAAATAAGTTATATAAGAAATCTATCCTCAAAGAAGGATCCTAGCTTTACTCAAATTTCATTTAGTGCTAGTACTCGTGAAAAGTACCAGATGGACAGTTACATAGACTGAAGTTCTCTAGGTATCTCCAAATCAGCTTATTTCTCAACAATGTGCTATGTGCTAATGAGCCCTATTCTAAAGGACTAGCTTTTCAGGGTGAGAGAAGAATTCAGAGAATGATGCAAAATCAATTGTCAGTCTCTCTACAAAGTACTAGCAAATACAAAATAGTTAGTTTCACGATAGAGATTTTCATATTTGAGCTGAATAGATGAAAACCCCACCAAACTCATTTCCTCTGCAATACTGAATTTCAAACTCTTTGAGCTTCTTGACCAAATTTGAAATTACTATCACTATTCTTTCCCCAGCGTCCTTTTCCCTCTATCACCATGATGCTTTCCCACTTAAAAGGCTGACTCAAGAAAAAAAAAGAAAGGAAAATGCAAGGTGACAGGAATACCCCTTCCCACCAAGGATGTCCCCCCCACAAAAAAAAATTAGAATTAAAATTAACAAACTCATTTTTTATTCCAAAGTTTTGGTTCTCCATCCATTCTTTCATATCTCTAAATATGCCAAATATAACTGTATGAGTAAAATTAATAGAACACATTTTTCTATTCTGAAACAAAATAACTAGATCTTTCAATTTCTGCATCTCCCTCCCAAATAATGGCTTAAAATATTTCTACAAAGTTTATATCTTTATTTCTAAGCATTCTATTTCTGTTCAAAGTGACAACACCACAAAATATGGCGTAAGAAACTTTGATCTTAGTTAAAAACGTGGCAATAGATAACAATGGTAACTTTTAGACAGAGTGTTATCACATTTGTAATTAAAAGTAAAAAGTTACAAATCCCTCACAAATGTCAAATTAACATACCTCCTAAACCTTCTAGCTCATACCAGTGTTATCTTTTGGTTCTCAAAAGAATTACAGTGTTCATACTATAGTTGATTCTTCATATCACAAGTGCTTACACTACAAGGTGCTTCACTGTAACATCATTCTTAGAGATCAATAAGACCATCTTATAAGCCATTCCTTTTGGCAAGCAAATAATCAAATTTCACTGATTAGGGACAAAGCTTCCTATAGGTTAAACCCCATTTAACTACTGACTGACTACTTCCAATTCACACAAAGTGTATTAAACTAATTAAAATAAAAGGACATTGTTAAACTATAATGTTCATTTTTAATTTCTTGACATAAATCATATGTTTCATGTGTATTATTTGCAAACAAGAACAAACTCAGGGTTGGGGGTAGGTGGGTGGTAGGTGAGTGAGCCAGAGCAAGGCAAGAAGATGTTTGTGCAGGTTCTCCTGAAAGAATTTTTTGCTATGCATGCAATTACTATCTGTAACTACATTTAAATACCTACATAATGAAAAATGTTAAAAATTTCTGGTTTGGTGATTTGTATGTACATGATAAAGAGTGTTTTCTACTAGAATTGAAGGGTGTGAAAGTCCCATCTTCAAGTAAATCCTAATGGTACCTGCCTCTAGGGGCAAGGGACAAAAATTGGCATTGTGGGGCAGCTAGGTTGGGCAGTGGATAGAGCTCCATGGAGCCTTGGAATCAGAACGACCTGAGTTCAGATGTGGCCTGAAAAACATGACACTTATTAGCTGTGTTACCCTGGGCAAGTCACTTAACCCCGATCACCTCACCAAAATGCAAAAAAAATTTAAAAGTTTTTAAAAAATTGGCACTGATCAAAAATTTTAAGCTAACAGTTCAGTAGATATTAAGTACTTATCTCTAAGATACACAAGAAGTATATAAAGGCAATAACTGAACTAGGACACGTGGTATTTCATTTGGTGCAAAGGAGATATGTGATAGAAGCAACAATAGCCAAACTGTATAAAATACCAAATCAAGGAAAAATTTTGATTAAATATATCAACAAATAAATGAGACACAGGATACTTTTTCTCCCTCTATTTGTGTATATATGTATGTGTTTAGTCATTTAGCAAGTATACACCATGAATCTAATTTTTTTCTTGTTATTTTGATTCATGTGTAAAATTATACATAATATACTTGAGTTGATAATGCTGTTGTTTATAGAGTGAATTCAGTGCAGGTAGACTAATTCTATTTAAATAAGAAAAAGATCTCCAAGAAATAAGATATAATATAATGACTTTGAATTTCTCTAAAATGTACTTAATTAGAAAGGGTGGGAGGGTGCTAGCAGAAAGCATGTCCCCATTAAGGTTTTATATTTTCTTCTTTTGATATCATAGAAATGGACAAGGATTAAAATTAGTCATATCTCTTAATATATCATCCCCTCCCCCTGATTACCTACTTTCTCACAGCCTTTTATATTTTAAAATAAATTTAAAAGATAATTTTTTAAAAATGTGTAATAAACTGTGTTGTGTAATTCTTTACTGCCATAAAAATGTTCTCATCCTGTGAAAAATATACTTTAAATATAGGATAAAGCTCTTTTATCCATTTTTTGCATTATCTATTTCAAACATTTGCTGGGGTACAAGAACAGGAGGTAAAATAACCATCATTAAACATCTTTCAAGGGGATTATTGAAGCAAGATGAAAGAACTAGAAGATATGACACTAGAATAGCTAATTTGAAGACCAGATATTTAATGCATTAAATATAGAGAAGTTTAGAATCAGTTAACTACTTGAGAGGTCAGATCAGCCCTACCTCAGATTCTATATGGGCTTTTCCAGTGCATTACTAAAATATCTATGATTAGGGAACCACAATTATCATTTACAGTATTGTGCTCAGAATTGTTTGAAATGAATGAACTATTAAAAACCTCATTTGCTTTTAAATAAGAATAGAAGCCCCACATAATTTTGAAGTATGTTCAATAAGAAAGGATAATTTGAGATTTAGATAATTTAACTCTATTAAGATTCAGGATGAAATAATAGAGTAGGCAGAAAATAACAGGTACATATATTGTATTTCCATAGAAAAAATTTTTTAAAGAATTTAGAGGACAATTTATCAAACTTTAAATGCCATTTATTTTTTTAATCAAGATTTTTTTTTTAAAAATCCCTCTTTTTTGAAAAGAGTGGAATCAATAGCATTCTTTACAAACAATGAATGAAAGCTTGCTAGTCAAGACTTCTACATAATTGGTAAGAATGAACAGTTTTAATGACATATTCCTTTTCTACTTCCTAATACATCACAGTTGTTCTCCAGATTTGTGTAAAGTTATTAATAAATCTATTCACTTCCAGTGTTATCCTGGCATATAGGAGATACTTAATAAATGTTATTTGATTGACCTGACTAAAATAAACAAATACTTTATTTCTAGAACCAAGAAGAAACAAAAGTGCAGAAAAATAAACCCGACCTTTACCACTATTAACAAAAATAATCAATACATATCAAAGAATAGGAAGTTTTACATAAGGCTGGGTAATATTTTTAAGTCCCCACACATCCTTTACCCCTAAAAAGTTAGCTAGCCTAGAGCCTTAGCTCATTAAAGTTTTTAAGATCTAAAGGCAACTAATAAAGCAACCAATAAATGCTCCTTACCAGTCCACTGCAGATCAACTTACCAAATCCCTGTGCAACACCCAGTTAGCATGCAGGTAGTGAATACCATCTAGGATCTGATATAATAGTGACTTGACCATTCCCCGAGGTAACTGAACTGGCTTCTTGTTTGCTTTAGAAGCTCTGTGAAACTTGATTATGTGCTAAAAGAAGAAAAAATATCAATAGAATCAGAAAAAGGAAGATACATTGATGTGTTAATGCTTTACTGAAAAAGAAAGCCTCCAGAGATTTCTCATAATGCTTGCCAATATCATTCCATCCTCTTCTAAATAACTCAAGTAACTTCAAAATTTCCAAACAATTGTGCCTAGGGTCAAAATAGTTTCCTATGTACAATAAAAACACTATAAGAGATGGACAACGTCCCAGAAAATAAATGAAAATAACAGGAGATGTAGATTTCATAATTTCATTTAAAAATACAACTAAAATATAATCATTTCTTTGGAGAACATTCCATTCTAATTTGTCTAATGAAAAAACCAGAAAAATTTCAAAAAAGAAAATTTACAATGTCTTCCAACAAATTGTAAGTATTTTTGGCTATTATAATAGTACGGTGCATTTATAACACATTGGTAACGATTGAAGATAATTTAAGCCAGGCAGACCCTTCTTCTATTTTGTAACAAACAAGTGGATATGAGGAACAAATGACCAGCAATAATGACTATGTTCACATAAGAATTCATAGAAAAAAACTGAAGAGTTGGGTTAATAATTTAAGGAGAGGCAAAAAGGTTGCCTTTTCCTTACCTAACAAGCAGAACTTTGAAGGTCTGATATTCCTTCTTGGACTTTGCTAAAATTTAATTTGACAATCAAATCTTATTTTAAAAACCATTCATTAAAAAGTGTTTAAAAAATGTCACCTTTATATAAATAATGCTGTTGTCTCCCCTCCCTGGCATATAGCAAGGGCTTAAGAGAAGCTTAATGTACTGAACTGAATGAAAATGAATTGCTATGCTAGAGACAAGTTGAAGTTAACTTAAATTTTAAAATGGGCAAGTCTTATATACCTAAGGCAATATACATAATAAAGGAAGATATACAAACAAAAAAGACCACAGAAATGGTCATGCAAGCTAATTAATAATTACATTGTACAGGGAAAAAAAAGAAATCACTAAGCTAAGGATATACAAGTTTGGAATTTACAGTCTAAAATAATAATGACACAAACACCTGTAATTATAATACAAAATAATCCACAAGTGCATGAGAGAGGTGCGGAACAAACTGCTACACAAAGAAATAGCATGTGAGTTGGTTTTCAGGGGTGGGAAAGAATTTGGCAGACTGTGGGTGAAGGGTGAGGGTTAAGCATAGAGGACTGACAGGGCAGGCCTACTGGGGGGATAAAGAAGAGTCCAATTTGGATGGAACACAGAGTACTGATGGGAGAAGACACAAAGGTAGAGCGGTGCCAGAATGTGGAACGCCATGAATATTAGGCAAGGATATATGAACTTTACTCAGTAGTCAAAAGTGATTGCTTCAGTTTGATACCTCTCTTTCCAAAAGGAAAAACTATTCTTCCTTTTCCTAATCTTTCCTTTCTCTTTGACCACTTCTATATATTGATCCCATTCTAACTTCTTTTAGAGTTATTCAATTATATATTTTCCTACTAAATTGTGCCAAGGATTATACCACTTTCACCGCTATAACCCACCTCCTAGTTCAGTGCCTTGCAAATGGAAAGTGTCTGTGAAAATGAATTAGCCAAAAAAAGCCCAAGGCTTCAAGCTCACTTCATAGTTATCTCTGCTTTATCTTAATGTTTTGCCATCTACTCTAATGCATAACTGTCAATGCTATGGTGCTGGGTTTAAAATTTTATTTAAAGAAAAACAACAACATAATTTAGTTTCAATTCCTGTAGCTATGCTATTTTGGTATAACAAACTTTAAGCTTTTTTTTTTTTAAGATAAGATTGAATGAAAGAAACAAGTATTCAGGCAGGAAGGAATCAAATGAATCCTTCTAGCCTCTTCCTAATATCTACAAAATAAGTTTACTTTTCTAGGATATGTGGAGTATCTATACATATAACTACATAATCAGCACTAATGAGTTTTTTAGAAGCAGAAATCAAAATAAAACTAAATCAAGGGTGGATCGTGGAAAAGTTATCCCCTTTCTTTGTATGGTCCACAGAATCATATCTTTTAATTATTCCAGACACATCAATTGTTTTTGACCCCACACATGTCTTTGCCTCACCAATCTAGTGGTAGTTAGTAGGGAGCTGACATCAAAGATAATAATGAAATTAGACATAAAAAACTGTATATACCATTAATGTTTCCTTTGTGTAAGCCATTTTAGGCTTCTCTAACTGCTATGCTGGCTATGGTTGGTTGTACAAATAGGATTTGGGGGGGGGTTAATTTTGATTCCCCTAAATGTTCCCATGGTCTAAATGCTACTAAAATAAGTTCTTAGGCTCCTTAGCTAGGAAGTCAACTATTTCTTAGATGTTAAGTGATTCAAAGTTGGTTGTGTGATTAGGCTAGTTAAATTCCTTCAAAAACCTTGGTTGTACTATAATTATTTAAAGACGACTGCTTTTCTATTTCTGAAACATCCAGAATTCTCACTTTATTTTCATTTTATATTATTAACATTTAACATTTACTGTTATTTGCTCAACTAAAAATGTTGGTCATCTCTCTCAACACAAATTTTAAATATGAAAAAGAAAGTCAGCTCTAAGAAAAAAATAAAACTTGTAAAAACAATATAAAAAGGCATGTATCTATAGATTTAAACTTCTGTTAATTTTGTGCATAGGTCAGAAAGACAAAATATATTTTGTACATATTTTCATATTGACTTCATTTTGCAATATAGAACTTTCTACAAGATATTTGCTCATGTAAAGTACATGCATAATTTCAGAAAGCATAATATTAAATAAGATTTTTTAATGAATGACACAATTATGTTGGAAAAATTACATGTAATCAACAACTAAGTTACACAGTCAACCAAGGCATGATCATATGAAGGAGACTTTATTTAAGTTCTTATGAAATGACCCTAGTATAAACCACTCTTTTCCTCCAAATTTGGATTAAACAAAACCTCTTTGACTAGCTTTTCCCCACTCTGCCTCTAGTCTCTTGTACTAAAAGGCGAGGATTGGATGAGGAATTTGTAATTGGTACCCACCACTTTGTTTTGTATTTCCTCTACCCAAATCATGGTTAGCTCTGGACAAGGCATGAAATCTTCCCCCCTCCTAATCTTCTGCCCAACTCCCCAGATAAGTGCGTATGTGTATGTATGCATACATATATGTGTATATGCATACACATATATACATACATATTTTAATATGGTATTTTGTGCAATTATTTTTCAGTATTGAGCTAAATACATATTCTTCCAAAGAGATCATATTTTGAGGATACAATAGATGACTAAGTCATTCTAGAACAGTTTATTTTATCATAAATATATAAGATAGTGAATATCCATAAAATAATTTATGTATGCACTTGCACATATATTGAATCCTCTTTCTCTTTACACAAAGGACAAATGATAGTGGTACAAGGAACTATGCAAAGCAAAAACACTATTAAAGAGAACATGTAAATCCATACCCTATTAGTTTATTTTTCCTTAATATGTAGATATCAAAGCCTATATATCATTTGCAATTCCCTTAGAATTATTAAGTAAAACCTATTGTCAAATAAATATAAATGTAACATGCTTTACCCAGAGGTCATGCTCAGCATAGTCAAACAGAAGCCACACTTTCCTGTCAGCATGAGACAAAAACACCTTTTGAAGAGAGATGACATTTGGATGTTTAAGCTCTCGAAGTAGCTGCAAAGCAAAGGAAAACCATTAAAGAAGTCTAACACAAAAAAAGAACAGTCAAGAATATCTTTTTTGCCTTTAAATTGGCACAAGTCCTCTGCTTTCTACCTTAGATATCTAATCCACTAAATAAAACCTGAAACTATTAATTTGGGTTTCAAAGTACGTGAGAGAAAAGTATGAAACAAATGAATAAATTTTTTACTTAAAATCTTACATGTTTTTCCTCACAAGATTATCAAATAAAAAAATTTTTACACAGAGATGGGAACATACTTCACATTTTCACAGATTATCTTACTTGTGGCTTTTCATGTCTACATTTTATCCCTACTTAATTTAAATCTAAATGGACTTATATAGTGCAAAATCAACTAGTACCCCCAAAAGGTCATTAATCTTCCTCCTCCCCCAACAAACTCCAACATTAACACCACCCACTCATTTTAAAATAGATTTTAACTAATATATTTTGATTTTATATCACCTTCATTCTCCATGCTATATCCCTTATATTTCTTCCCCAGAAAGCCATTATTTATAACAAAGAATTTTTTAAAAAGGGAAACAGAAAAAAAAAATCACGAAAACCAATCAACATGTATAAAAAAATTTGATGTTATACGCAATGTTCCACACCCATCAACTTTAATTTCTGTAAAGCAATGGGGAAGATGTTTCCTTGTATCTCTTCTTTGAAGCCAATCTTGGTCTTTATAATTTTACAGAATTGAATTTTGAGGCAATTCTTTCCATTTAAATTGTGTTTCTGTCATTGTGTATACTGCTTTTTTGGCTGTTTACTTTACAATGGATCAGTTCATATAAATCTTTCTGTGTTTTTCTACATTTATCACATTTATCATTTTTTACAGCATAGTACATTCAAGTACTACAATTTGCTTAACCATTCACCAATAGATGAGCATCTACTTTATTTTCTGGTTCTTTACTATCACAAAAAGTGCTACTATCATTATTTTGATGCGTATGAGGGCTTGGTTTTTGTCAATTATCTCCTTGGGGCATACACTTAGCAGTGAAATCTCTAGATCAAAGAGTATGTGCATAAAATGCCCAATTTTGATTACAAAAAATTAGGAAGTTTTTTTGTTTTTTTGTTTTTTTTTTAACAAACAAAGCCAATGCAGCTAAAATTAGAAGGGAAGTAGGAAATGGGAGGGGGAAGGAATCTTTGCAGCAAAATTCTCTGATAAAGATCTTATTTTTTAAAATATATAACTTACTGAGTCAAAATTATAAGAATATGAGCCACTTCCCAAATGATAAATGGTCAAAGATTAGGAACAGGCAGTTTTCAGAGGAAGAAATCCAAGGAATCAAGTTGTATGGGGAAAAAAATACTCTAAATCACAAATAATTAGAGAAATGCAAATTAAAACAACTACAAGATACTATGTTACACCCATCAGATTGGCTAAGGTGGCAGAAAAGGAAAATGGCAAATTTTGGAAGGGATGTGAGAAAATAGGTATACTAATGTACTGTAGGTGGAACTGTGAACTAGTCCAACTATTATGGAGAACATTTTAACTGAACATATAACTGTATTATAAAGTGGTAATTATCAAATCAATCTGATACTTGCTAAGAAATAGCGTGCTGGATCAGTGGAACAGATTAGGTACAAATTACACTGTAGTAAATGACCACAGTAATCTAGCATATGATATAAACCCAAAGATCCAAGCTTTTGGAACAAAAACTGATTATTTGACAAAAACTGCTGGGAAAACTGAAAACAGTATGGCCAAAACTAGGTATAGACCAACATCTCACACTGTATACCAATAGAAGGTTTAAATTGGTATATGATTTACACATAAAAGATGATACCATAAGCAAATTAAAAGAGCATGGAATAGTTTATCCGTCAGATTTATGGATAAGAGAAGAATTTAGGAACAAAGAAGATAAAGAGAGCATCACAAAATATAAAGTAGATAATTTTGATTATATAAAAAGTTTTTGCACAAACAAAACCAATGCAACCAAAATTATAAATAAAATTATAAGGAAAGCAGAAAACTGGGGGGAGGGGGATTTGCAACAAGTATCTTAGATAAAGGCCTCATTTCTCAAATATACAGAGAACTGAGTAAAATTTATAAAAATACATGTCATTCCCCAGTTGATAAATGGTCAAAGGATATGAACAGGCAGTTTTCAGACAAAGAAATCAAAGCTATCTATAGTCATATGAAAAAATGCTTTAAATCACTATTGATAGAGAAATGAAAATCAAAATAACTCCGAGGTACCACCTCACACCTATTAGAGTGGCTACCATGACAAAAAAGGGAAATGTTGAATGTTGGAGGGTATATGGGAAAACTGGGACACTGTTGGTGGAGTTGTGAACTGATCCAACCATTCTGTTTATTTTATTTTATTTTTTTTGGTGAGGCAATTGGGGTTAAGTGACTTGCCCAAGGTCACACAGCTAGTACGGGTCAAGTGTTTGGTCTGAGGCCGAATCTGAACTCAGGTCTTCCTGACTTCTGGGCCGGTGCTCTATCGACTATGCCACCTAGCTGCCCCTTGATCCAACCATTCTGGAGAGCAATTTGGAACTATGCTCAAAGGGCTATAAAACTGTGTATACCCTTTGATCTAGCAATATTACTGCTAGGTCTATATCCCAAAGACATCTGAAAAAAAGGAAAAGGAGCTATTTGTACAAAAATATTCACAGTAGCTCTTTATGTGGTGGCTAAGAATTGGAAATCAAAGTCAATTGGGGAATGGCTAAACAAGCTGTGGTATATGATTGTAATGGAATATTATTGTGCTATAAAAAATGACAAGCAGGATTTCAGAGAAACCTGGAAAGACTTATATGAACTGATCCACAGTGAAGTGAACAAAGCCAGGAGAACATTGTACATGGTAACAGCAGTCTTGTTTGATGAAGAACTGTGAATGACTTAGCTATTCTCCTCAATACAATCATCCAAGACAACTCTAAAGGATTAATGATGAAGCATACTATCCACCTCCAGAGAAAGAACTGATATTTTTTGAATACAGAGGGGAAAATGCTATTTTTTCACTTTCATTTTTTTTCTTTTGAGTCTTCTTGTACAAAATGACTAATATGGAAATATTATACATAATTGCCCATGGATAACCTACATCTGATTGCTTATCATCTTAAGGTGGGGGAGAGGAGGGAGAAAGGAAGTGAAAGAATTTGGAACTCAAAACTTTAAATAAAAATGTTTTTAAAAATAAATAAGTAAAATATTAAAATAGAAAAAACAGAAAAATTAGATTAATGGAACAGATTAGACAAGAGTCAGAAATAGTGGAATTCAATTCAGTGTTTGATAAACCTGAAAACATAAATTACCTAGGAAATAAATCTTTTATTTTATAAAATGTGATGGGGGTAAAAACGAAAAGCAGTCTGCCATAAATTAGGCTTAAATCAACATCTTACCCCTTATTCCACAGTAAATTCAAAATGGATACATGATCTGAATATTAAAGATCATACCATAACAAAATCAGAAGAGAAGCAGATCTTAGATCTTTCATAGCTTTGGATAGAAGATGAATTCTTAGCCAAACAAGGTCTAAAAGCAATTTAAAAAGATAAAAATAGATAATCTGTCTTACATTAAATTGAAAAGGATAGGGGAAGGAGTCAAATGGGAGGAAAATCTTCTATGAAATGAAGATTTCTCAGATGAGGGTTTGGTATCTAAAATATAAGCAGCTAACAGTAAGACATAAGACAAATACAAAACAACAGTCGATAAGCATTTATTAAGCACTTACTATTTACTATACTAGGGCAGCTAGATGGCTCAGTGGATAGAGTGCTGGGTCTGGAGTCAGAAAGACATGAGTTCAAATCAGGTCTCAAACACTTATTAGCTCTGTGACCATGGGCAAGTCAGTAAATCTCTCTTTGCTTAATAGGCAGAAAGGTGGCTCAGTGGATAAGAGCACTGGGCCTGGAGCCAGGAAGACACCAGTTAAAATGGGCTCAGACCCTTATTAGCTGTGTGACTTTGGGCAGGTCACTTAACCTCTATTTGCCTTAATCCACTGGAGAAGGAAATGATAAACCACTCCAGTATCTTTGCCAACAAAACTCCACAGTTTGATCAGTATGATCCACGGGGTCACAAAGAGTTAGACACAAATGAATGACTGAACAACAGCAAGTACTGGGCTACACAATGCAAAAACAAAAAAGGCAAAAGATGTCTCTGCCCTCAAGGAGTTTACAACCTAATGAGAAGTCAATAGACAAATAAATATGTACAAATAAGCTATACAAGATAAACAGGAAATAATTAACAGAAGGAAGGCACCAGAATTAAGGAGTAGTCAAAGGATATTAAAGGGGAAATTCTGGTGATACATAAAACAAAATATATCAATAAATAATTTTTAAAAATTTATCCTGTGTCCCAAATAGTGAGATTTATGCCCTGCCCTATAATCATTCTCCTTCCCATCTGCATTAGATCTCATCTCTAGACCCAATGTCCTCCCATTTTTCTGTTGACTCCAACTGTATAAATTCAATTATAAAATGCTCCTTGAAGAAATAAAAAACAATTTTAAATAGCTAGAGAAATAATCAGTGCTTATGACTAAGTCATGTTGCCCTTAGGACCTCCAATTTCTCTTCTTTTTAAACAAGATGCTACCCATGTCCCAACCCTCCCTCAGAGAAAACAGCCTCCCTAAGCCCCAACTCTCCCCAGATTAGACCCATGATAAAGTTCCCATCTCCCATTACAATCACATGCTCTTCAGTGAAAGCTTCCCCTCCCTCACCCTTCCCATGGGCTGAGATTTCCACCACTAGTATAACTTGTTCTGGTTCTTAATCCTTCCTTCTCTGGTTGAGCTGAATCAACTGCCACTTTTTGAAAGACTTGGGCGGGGGGCGGGGAGTGTTATTCTGGAATCTTAAGTGTGATTTTGGGCATCCTTCACAGAAGGAAGCTCAATGCCCATATGTC